AGGTTTTTTGGGGGGGTGTATTGTTTGAACATGATTTGAATATGTTTGAATTCTGTTTTGCTGTTTTCCGGAAGGGAAGGAGGACTATGTTTTGTTGTGTTCCGTTTGTTTGAAACATGTTTTGAACATGTTTTGAAGTATGTTTGAACTAGTCCGCCTGTAGGAAGGAGGACATGCCCGACCTAGCGCTACGTCACGTCATGCCCCCTCCTGTCCCCCCCGCCCTCCCCCTCCCCCCCCCCTCACGCCCTGCGCTCGTGCTTGCATTGAGCGAGGTCTGGTCCTTTCACTGGGCAGGGCTCGCCTCAATCGGAAGCTGCTTGCCTTCCCCGACGGTCTTGTGCCCTCATCCCTTGCTGCCTTCGCTGAGCCGTCTTCGTCGCCGTCGTCGTCGCCACCTCGCCCCCCCCCCCTGGGTGCCCCGCGGTTGCCGAGAGCACGCGGCCAGCTCGCGCTTTTCGGAGCTCGCCTCGCGCCTCCTCCGGCCAGCGCCGGGCCGTCTCGCCGTCCTCTCCCCGCGCCCCGCGGCCGCGGCCCCGCCCAGGCCAGAGGCCGGTCCGGATCACGGTCATGGGCAGGTACGAGATGACCACGGCGCGCTCGGACCTGCTGGGACAGGGCGCCCGCCCCGCACCGCGGCAGCGGCCCCGAGTGAGAAAGGGGCTCCGGAAGCGACGAGCTGGCGGAGAGCACCGTTTTTTTGAAGGACGGAGGAATGAGCACGCCACTTCTCGACCTGACCTCCGGCAGTCTTGCTCGCCCTCCCAGGTGACAACACCCAGCGGTGAGTCTCGGGCGAGTTGGTGTCACCGCCCGGTCTGGGGGCCCGTGTGGTGTGTTGAGGATGTCCCAGAAGGCTGGTGGGTCCAGGAGTCACAGAGCCCGGCGGTAACCCCGCGACCCCAACCCCCGCGGTGACTTTTGGGGGCTTCCAGGTCGCCACCTGACATCTCACCACCTGGTTTGGGGGATCCCAAAGGTGTCGGCAAGCATGAGGGGAGCTGTCCCTGAGGCTTCTCGCCCCACCGCCAAAAGATGTCCAGATCCACTGCTCCGCAGTCCCGCCCTGGGATCTCGAGGCGTGGCGGATGTGGATCTTTGCCCGCCCGGGTGGGCGGGCAGATGTCCATATCCTTGAGGCGGGCCTGTCCCTCTGCAGGAGGACTTTTTCAAAATAGGCACACAATAGTCTGGGGACGATTTTTTTGACCAATATGTTTGATTATCTTGTTGGATTTCTGTTGGACTATGTTTAAGTTTTCGTCCAAAGCCCGCCCGTAGGAGGACATGCCCGACCTCGCCATATCCGCAGCTCCCCCGGGCCCCTGGCTTGGCCTCGCTCGGACGTGTGCACTTTCTTCCTCGGCGAGAACCGTCGAGGAGCATCCTGGACCATCGGGCAAAGAAGAAACACACGCACGACACCGAACAAATGCACGGGGAATGGACGTCCGAGCGACAGGCCTTGGAACAAATTAGCGAACACGTGCCACACTCAACGGTCAGCGCCTCCCCATCCGCCCAATGCTCAAAGTTGGCGGTGGGTCTGATGAGATGCACTTCGACCGCAGTCTCCCCCGCGCGTGCCGACATTGAGTTTGGGGGGGAGGGGGAGTGTTCAGTAATTGTTTCCCTCTACTGGACGGCAAGGGAACCGTCGAGGAGCATCCTGAACTATCGGGCAAGGAAGAAACACGCGCACGACACCGAACACATGCACGGGGAATGGACGTCCGTGGGGGGCCACGTGCGAGCCCGACCCCTAACCCCCCACGATTTCTGAGGGGGAGGGCGGGGTTCACCTCGTCCGGGAGCTCCCGAGCGAAGTGAACCCCACCCTCCCCCCCCCAGAAATCGTGGGGGGTAGGGGCAGGGTTCGCATGTGGCCCCCTAGTCCGAGCGACGGCAAGCTGGCGGCCGACCCCGCGGGGACGGACGTCGGCGAGAACCATCGAGGAGCATCCTGGACCATCGGGCAAAGAAGAAACACACGCACGACACCGAACAAATGCACGGGGAATGGACGTCCGGGCGACGGCAAGCTGGCGGCCGACCCCGCGGCAGCGGACACGGACACCTCTCGGCGGCAAGCACCCCGCCGGCGCGGGCTCCCCGTGAGGAGGCGCGCCTCGCCTCGGGCGCCGGGCACCGCCCGTCGGGATTGGCGGCTCGGCGCCCAGGGGGGCCGCCGCTCCCTCGGGGCCCGCTACGTCTTTGGCATCCGTCGGACGTGTGCACTTCTTCTCCTTCTTCTTCTTCCTCTCCTCCTTCCTCTTCTTCTTCCTCTTCTTCTTCCTCTTCTTCTTCCTCTTCTTCTTCCTCTTCTTCTTCTCCTTCTTCCTCTTCTTCTTCTTCTTCTTCAATGTTTCACTATTCCTCTGATCATGATCATTATTATTCTTCCCTGTGAGGACCCTCGAAGAGCATCCTGGAGCATCGAGCAACGAAGCTCCAGGGAGGAGGAACACCACCCAGACCGGAGAATCGACGCCTGCTGACTGAGCGGCCCGGAGCGTTTCCTCAACGGCCCTGCCCCGTTCGATTCCTTCCTCCCTTGGTGCGTTTGCTAAAACATGGCTTCGCTTGTCGGGGCGACTCTTATGATGGGGGGGCCCAGACATGCAACGTCCTGCTTGACCATTTCGCCAGGACCGGCTTTTCACCCTGAGTCGTTTTTCGACGGCCCTGATTCACTCCTCTTCCTCTGCCTTATCCCTCCCGTTCTCCCGCGCGGGGGTCTCTGGGCAGTGCACCTCCCTCGTCCTGATCCCCCCTCGTTCGTGTCCTCTTCCCGAAGAGGAGGGAGGAGCAAGGAGGGGGGGGGACTCTCCTCCCTCCTCCCTCGCCCCCCTCTCCAGGGAGGTTGTCCCTCTCCCCCCGCCCTCCTCCAGGGAGGTTGCCCCTCCAGGAAGGGGACCCTAAGGCCTCCCCCCTCCCCCCCCCTTCTCCTCGCTCTCTCTCTATCGTCTCTCTCTCTCATCTCCCGTGAGGCTGTTCCTCCTCTCCCTCCTCCCCTCTCTATCATTCCATCCCCCCTCCTCCCTCTCTCCCCCCTCCTCCTCCCTCTCTCCCTCCTCCCTCTCCTCCCTCCTCCCTCCCCCCTCCTCCCTCCCCCCTCCTCCTTTTTTTTTTTGTTTCTCTCTCTCTCTCTCTCTTTCTCTTTCTCTCTCTCTCTCTCTCTCTCTCTCCAGGGAGGCTGTCTCCTCTCCCCCGCCCTCCCAGGCACCTCCAGCATGTGCTGGCGCGGCCTCAGCCTGAAGTCTGGGGCCGAGGTCGCCATCAAGGCCCCTTGCAGCCAGCGCCCGCCAGACGTCCCCTCCCAAAGCTCCTCGCCCTCCTCCTCCTTGTCCTCCTCCTCCTTGTCCTCCTCCTCCTCCTCCTCCTCCTCCTCCTCCTCCTCCTCCTCCTCCTCCTCCTCCTCCTCCTCCTCCTCCTCCTCGAGGCAGAGGGAGAAGGAGCCGGCACAGAGGTGCACTTTCCACGCTTCCTGCGGAGATCTGGCACCCCTGCGCTGGACACCCTGGGCGGTGCCTCCGCACGCCACCTGATGGAGGGGGGGGGCTGTCCAGCGCAGGTCCACGAACTCCGCGCGGCCCGTCGACGGTTCCTCTTTCTGCCGTGCTCTGGCCTCGACAGGCGGCCCAGGTTAGTGGCTCGACCCTGCCACCAGATCAAGGGTACCCTGGTGCCCTGTGTCTCGCGACCCGTGCTTCCTGCACTTCTGTGGCAGAGTGGCCCTCGGAAGGGTCCTGTGTCCTCTCGCGTGTCCTCTCCAATCGACTCCGACCGTACCTTCGTCCTCCTCCCCGTCTTCCTCCTCGTCCCTCCTCTTCCTCCCCCTCTTCGTCCGCAGGGCTCCGGAGGCTTCTGGGGACTTCCAGCTTCGGGAGCCTCCAGGGGGGACGTCCAGAGGCTGCGGGGGACGGCTCGGGGAGGTGGCACGCGTGGGAGTGCTCACTGTTTTCTAGGAGGCGGGAGGAGGAGGAGAAGGAGGAGGAGGAGGAGGGGGAGGAGGTGGGGAGGAGGAGGAGGAGGAGGAGGAGGAGGAGGAGGAGGAGGAGGAAGTGGCTCGGGGACGTGACGGCCATCCGAGCCCTCAGTTCTTCTTCCTCTTTCGGCACGCTGTGCTTTGCAGCACGCCCCAAACAGGTTCTGCTGCATCTGGGTTGACGTCCGCTCCTGCCCCTGCTCCTGCTCCTCTTCGTGGCCATGGCGCCACTCAGAGATCGTGCCCTATTCCTCTTTTTCTTTCTCGCCGGACTTCCACTCTGATTGCCATTGCTACGTATCATGTCTCTACCACTCCAAATTACTCCAATCCCTTTTGGGCAGATAATCCCACTCCCATATCTCCATTCCGTGGCGCCCCGAAGTAGACCCAAGGTGGGTGTTCCCGTTTCGTTTGCCAAACAGTCTAACGTAAACATGTCCCCTCAACCGGAACGTCTTGTGCTCGACAACGTCTGCGCCATGGCAGGAACGTTCTGTGGAACACACGGCGCGCGAGAGAGCGAAACATCGTTACAGCGCGTGCTTCCTGCGGTTGCAACGACTGAGGCGCCAGCCCGTGCCCACTCCGCCAGAGTGTCCCAGGCCAGCACACGGCCGCGCGGCGAGCGCACGAAGGGTGCTGGCATGCGGAGGCGCACGCTCAGGGAGCCCTGCGTCGTGCAGGCCGGGGGGGCAGGAGGCACTCGAGGGGGGAGAGCATGGGGCACCTCGACGAGGGCCGAGCTCGAGGCCGACCCAGCGTCGGTTCTCGCGATGCAGGCTTCGGGCCCCCAGAGGCCAGGACACAGATAAACCAGGGCACGGGAAACCAAGGAGACGGCTCCTTCTTCTGCAAATTTGCATGTTTCAGCCCCCGTGCATGTTTTGTTTGCTGCACTGCAGGATTCGGGCTTGTGTCCGGGTTTCGCGAGGTGTCTACAGGCTTGAAGGGCCTGTGTCCGGGTTTATGGTGGAAGCGCTGTCCGGGTTTATGGTGGAAGCGCTGCAGTGCCTTGGTTTGATTCGTGCCGCCGTCTGGAAAAATTGGTTTCGAGGGATGTTGGGTGTCCGGGTTGAGCGTGTCCGGGTTTACGGGGCCCTGGGCAGGGGCCGGGGTGTGCGCGCGGGCGGGGCCCGCTGGCTCGCTCTCAAGCCGTCTGCCTCGAGCACTGCGTCTGCGTTCCTCCTCCTCCTCCTCCTCCTCCTCCTCCTCCTCCTCCTCTCTTCCTCCTCCTCCTCCTCCTCCTCCTTCTCCTCCTCCTCCTCCTCTCTTCCTCCTCCTCCTCCTCCTCCTCCTCCTGCCTCTCGACCCATCTGCCTTTCGCTCCTCCTCCTCCTGCACTCGCTCGGGAGGTCCAGCTTCAGGATGCTCCAACACCTACTTTAGCTTGGACCACCAGAAAGAATTTCTGTCTTTGAGCACTGTCTCTGCTTTCACTCCTCCTCCTGAGTGTACTCGCTCGTGAGGTCCAGCTTCATGATGCTCCAGCCTACTTTTAGCCTTGACCACCAGAAAGAACTTCGAGCACCAACAGAAACAAAAACGAAACTAGAGGGTTTTCACGTGTCGGGCCCTGGGAGACACTCGCCCGACACTGTTTTGACACTCTTTCGACACTTTTCCGGGTGCTCGAAATTATTTTTGGGATGTGGTCCTTAAGTACGATGGGAAAAACATAAGTCCAGCTGTTCGACACCCTGAGGGCCTGGTCACTCGGCATTTTGCCTCGGGCAGCCGCCGGCGGCTTGCCCTGCGGAGCTGCCTGGTGGCTGCCCCTTTCCTTCGGCGGCAGGGCACTCTCGGGGAGACGTGGGACTCGAGTGCGCCGGGGCTCGGGCTCGCCGACGTGTTTTGACGAGCGCGTCGTGGACTCCGACGCTCCAGTTCTCGTGGGATGTCTGCCGCGGGAGCTCGCGTTACATTTCAAATTGGGTCTCGTCATTTTCATGTAGCGGGTGAAGTCGGGAGGGAAAAAAAACACAGACACAATTAATCGTCGACCCCAGAAAATATGGGAAAACATGAGAAGTGGGGGGGAAGACAAAAACCCAGAAAAAATATAAGAAAATATGGGGAGTCATTTTATTAGTGTGTATTTACTTGTGTGTCCTGGGGCCCCTTGAATCAGATAAGCTTTTCGCTGTCGGGGACGCCTGTCCCAGGGCAGCTGGAAAGTTGGTTCTCTTGCGGGGCACGTCGAGGTGCAAGCTTCCCAGCCGCCCCTGGGCAGCGCCCCCGGCGACGGACAAGTTTATGTCATACTGTTCTTCGCCCGCTAAGGTTCACGATGGCCCCGTCGGGCCAGCCCGAGCCCCCCGCACCGGAGTCCTGCGTCTTCCCGAGAGGGGGCCACATGCGAACCCTACCCCCACCCCCACGATTCCGGAGGGGGAGGGTGCGGCTCACTTCGCCCACTGCCCACTCAAACCGCCCACTCGAATCTCTCTCCTTCCCTTCCGTGCCGCCGCGTCACGCGGCGCAGCTGCGGTCGCGGCCCTTGCCATCGCTCGGACGTCCACATTCCCCGTGCACTGCTCGGTCTCGCGCGTGCTCTTCTTGCTGGATGACCCAGGATGCTCCAGGGTTTGCATGTGGCCCCCTCTCGTCCGCGAGAGCGTGGTGAACAAAAGAGTGTCGAGTCATGACTGGCGGTCGGCACCGCGTGGTCGCTTTCAAGTGGGCTCCCGGTGCTGACCATGTTGCGCATCGCGCTGGGGGAAGTCTGTGCTCCTGGGTCAGGTGTTGACAAGCGGGGCTGGCGTGCGGGAGAGTTGTTTCGGCGGCCTTGGTTGAGTGGCCTGTGGTGCAGACTCCTCAGATGTTTGAGCGAGGTGGCGCACCGCCTTTTTGACTCCTTTGTTACACCTTGCTTTTTTGTTTTTGTTCCTCTCTCTCTCTCTCTCTCTTTCTCTATCTCTCTGTCGCTCTCACTCTCTCCCCCCATCTCTCCCTCTCTCGCTCCCTCTGTCTCTGCTCCGCTCTCTGTCTCTCTCTCGCTTCCTCTCTCTCTCTCTCTCTGTCGTTTGTTCTCTTCGTTTTGGCTTTAGCTTGTTAGTTCTGGTTTTCTATGCTTCTCTCTCCGTGACCCTTTCGAGGCCCCTCGCGGCCTCAGCGATACAGCAGGCCAGGCCGCCGGCCAGGCACGCATCACCAGCACGCTCGTGGGGAGGCCCGCATCCTCGGCCGAGCTGTTGGTCGCGCCAGCTCTGGAGGAGGATGGCCACGATTCTGCGACGGAGGCGATGCCGGCGGCCTGTCATGCCATCGGTGGTCGTACCGTTTCTTTCGCGCGCACGCCACGACCTTGCGAGGCGTGCCAGGCTTTCTCTCCGTCTTGCAGAGCCAGACCGCGCGCTTGTTCTGTGTCCCCCTTTTTCCGTCCATGCATGTGCAGGTACACACATAGTTCATTTCTAATTCATCGAAAGTTCATTGATTTTTTGTGGGGCCAAGATCATTTCCTTTCTAATTGTTCTATCCTGGGCCTCTTCCTGGCCACTGGAGGGCTCAGAAACGAGCACAGTTAGAAGTGTGCGCGATTAGAAATAAGCGACGTGTACTTGTTTGGTGCCACAGACGCAGTGGTTCCCGAACTCCGCGTCCAGGTCTCCGGGCGCGAGGCCACGAGCGCAAGACATGACTCGTTCTCAGCTTCATCGTCCTCTGTCTCTGCGGCCTCCCCGCTGGTCCTCGTCCTCCTCTGGCTCCGCGTTTCTTGGGAAGCGGGGGGGTAGGCGGTGGAGGTGAGGGGGAGAGGGGGCCAGGGAGGTGGAAAGGTACATGTGGGAGCGGCGGAGGGAGAAGATGAGGGGGGAGGTGATCTTGCGGGGGGGAGTGGACGGCCTCGTCCTCCTCCTCCTCCTCCTCCTCGCCCTCCTCCCTACCTCCCTTCTGCGTCCCCCCTCCTTCCTCCCTCCTCCGTCCTCCCTCGAGGGGGCGCTGTGGGAGGGAGCAGACCTAAGTGGCGGACGCAGCAAGAGCCTCTCCCGCTCCCGCGTAGCACAGGTGTACAAAACGCTCAGCGAGGAGGAACAGAAAGTGCTGATACAGAAGTTCAACCGGCAGGTCGGAGATGAGCAGGAGAAGTAGGGTGAAGAGGGAGTGCAGAAGGAGCGGTCTGAAGAGGACGAGGAGGATACCGACGAGGAGGGGGATGAGGATGACCAGGAGTTTTATAGAGGGCGCGGATCCGAATCAGGAGGTTGACCAGGACGATGGCGAGTAGGGTGAGGACGACATGGAGGAAGATGACGATGAGGAGGATGAATTCTTGACGCTTCGCGTATCCCCACCAGCCCATCCTACACCAGGCACTCGAACGAAGAGCGCCGATGATCGGCAGCTGTTCTTCTCCCCCTCTTCCTCCTTCTCCTCCGCCTTCTTCCTCCTCCTCCTCTCCTCCTTCCTCTCCTCCTCCTCTTCCTCCCCCTCCTCCTCCTCCTCCTCCTCCTCCTCCTCTTCCTCCGCCTCTTCCTCCTCCCTGGTGGCGTCTTGGAGGTATCTTCGAACGGTTTGGTGGGCTCTTGGGCCTTGCGGGCGGGCGGGCGGCGCTCCGCCCGCCCGCGCGCAGGGCCCAAGAGGAGAGTCCAAGACGACTCTTGGAGCCATGAGACATATTGGGATTTCTTGAGCCATCTTGGAGGTCATTTTGGGCTCTCCGAGGCGCTCTTGGAGTCATCTTAATCAGTGCCCCCCCCAAGAGGCCAACATGTGGCTAAAACCTTAGTGCAAACAATGGTTTGACATTATCGCCGAGGCCTCTGGGAGCACCTTGGGTGCCTCTGGGGGGTCTCTTGGGGCCTCTTGGGGGTCTCTTGGGGGCCTCCTGGGGGCCTCTTGGGGGGCCTCTTGGGGCCATCTTGGGGCCATCCTGCGGCCTCTTGGGGCATCCTGGGGGCCTCTTGCGGCCATCGTGGAGGAAATCGATCAAATAAGAGGGGAGCTTTAATTAGCCCTGCCCCCTCAGAAGGCCAAAATGGGGCCAAAACCCTAGTAAAATCAATGATTGTGGCTTCCTCGCCGAGGCCGTTTTGGACGCTCTGACGAGGACGACGAGGAGGGCGAGAAGAAGTCAGCCATGGGCTCGGCCGCGCTCGCCGCGCACCCTTGGCTGCAGCCGAAGCCGTCCGACGACGGATGCGCCCACGGCGGGCCCCCGACCGCATGGAGCAGTGCTCTGGGCGGGGGGGGGGGGGGGGCGCAGAGCTCCTCCGTGGCGGCTCCCCCATGGGATCATTTTATCTCATTTGTTTCAGCCTGAGCATTGAGAAGGAGGAGGAGGAGGAGGAGGAGGAGGGAAGGCGCCATTCTGGATCGGGGGCTGGGGGCTTGTTTCGTGCGGGCCCCCCCACCGCGGCGCCGTCCTCCGATGTGGCGGCGGCCTGCCACATGCCATGGCAGGCTTTGCTTCTCCCGCGTCGGCGGCCCGCCGAGGCAGCATGCTCGCACAGCACAACCACCCCCAGAGTGGGAACCAGCTGAGGAGCCGCGACGTGATAGAGGAGCTGTCTAACTTTGATGTGTTGGGGCTGCCAGGGACGCAGCGTCGGGCGACGGGAGGGAGGATCGAGTTATCGCAGAGGCTCGAGAAGCACTGGCGTATTGACGTCGGATGGAATCGAGGAGATCACCGCAATAGAAGTTGTGGTCTTACGCTGTGGCTGCGAAGGCGTGTCCTTGCTCAGTCTCACGTCGAAGGTTTCCTCTTCACGCCCAAGAGCTTCTGGGGCCGACGCGGGGCAGCGACGTTCGGACAGGGCACGCTCAGACGAGTGGTGGTACTGATGTACCTTCCCCCTCAACCCAGAGGACGGCCTCAGTCAGTACAGTGGGAGTCAATAGTCTCGGCGGTGATTTCTTGGCTTTCAGGTGTACTCGAACCGGTATCAGCAAGGTGGTCGCCAGTCATCATGAGTGATGCCAATGGGCAGTTGCAGCAGATGCAGGATGTTGCCGGCCCATCTGGCAACGGGGACCTCAATTCGCCGACAGAGGGACTCTCAGCTCTTT